ACTTTGTGAGAAAATACAGCAGAAGAAGTTTTTGAGAAAAGGAAGAAAATAATCCAATCCTTTTAAAAGTTGGTTTTGTCATAAAACAGAATAAAGGGACCTACACAGAGATCCAACTTTTAGGAATCAAATGGCAAGATGAACACTGTCAGAACCCAATGGTTGTTATTAAGATAACAGATAACTCCACAAACTAACAAGAAAAAGACACAAGATTTCTAGGTGTTGTGGGATTTTAGAGAATGCACATTCCAATTCGAAGCCTAATTGTAAGGCCTCTCTATCAAGTGATCTGGAAGAAGAATGATTTCAGAAAGCCCCATGAGTGGCAACAATTGAACAAATCAAGTAGGAAATAGTTCATGCTGTAGCCCTTGGGCCAGTCTGAACAGGGCAAGATGTAAAAAATTTGCTTTTCATTGCAGCTGGAGAGAATGGACCTACCTGGAGACTCGGGCAGAAGACACCAGAGGCTGACCTTTAGGTTTTTGGAGCTGAGCATACAGAGGATGTGAAGCCCACTATACTGTAACTGAAACAGAGATACTGGCAGCCTTCAAAGTGTCTGAGCTGCTTCAGAGATGATTGGTGCTGAAACACAGCTTCTGACACCACGGTTACCTGTGTTGAGTTGAATGCTCAGGGGAGGGTCTCCTCTACACATTGTGCAGCAGATGTTACATGGAGTAATGGGGGTGCACTGATCTCATAAAGAGTTTGGATAGGAAACCGTTGTTGTCAGGAAACTTAGATTTAATCATTGACTGGCCAGAAGGCAAAGATTTTTGGAATGTCACTGGGCTTGTGCTGAAGAGACCCCACTACTCAAAAAATTCTCAGAAACTGAGAAACAATATGCCTTGTTTATTGATGAATACTTCTGTCTTGTGGGAAAGCAGCTGTATGGAGTCCCCTACGACAAGTAACAGAAATTTCTGGAGGAGAACATGCATTGAGTCAATATGCAGAGCTGAAAGCTATCCAATTGGCCTTAGACATTGCTGAAGGAGAGAAATGGCCAACGCCTTTTTTTTACCTCTGTACTGATTCATGAATGGTAGCCCTTGGGGTAGTGGTGGCAGTGATGGAAGCAGAATAACTGGCAACCTAGGGGTGAGCCCATCTAGGCTGCTAAGTTGTGGCAAGACATTGCTGCCTGGTTGGAAAGGCTATTACCAAGGTTGAAGGCCAAAGTCATAGAATGCATGGATTTGACAAACATTTTTTTTGTGGGCCTTTTATGAACATTTGACAGAGGTGTTCCAGAGACTAAGGGACCATAATCATGTCTGTCTATCTATCAAAACAGATAAGTAGGGAAGGTGGTGGGATACTGGGAAGCGTGAAACTTGGTGTGACATAAAGGGTATGGAATAACAGGTGGATAAGTGTTAGCTTTGGATAGGGTAGAGTTAGCCTTCTTCACAGTGGCTGGTATGGGGCTGTTTTGGATTTGTGCTGAACATGGGGTTGATAATACTGAGATGTTTTTGTATTGCTGATCAGGGCTTACATGCAAACAAGGTCTTTTCTGCATGTCATGTAATGACACTGGTGAGGAGACTGTCTGTGTGAGAGATTGGGAAGAGACTAGCAGAGGCAGGTGAACCAAATTGTGCCCCAGAGGAATGTTCCATACCATATGACATCATGCTCAGTATATAAAGTTGGGGGGAAAAGTGGAAGGAAGGAAGAGTGGACATTTATAGTGATGCTGTTTGTCTTCTCAAGTCTCTGTTACCTGTGATAGGGGCCCCTGCTGTCATGGAGATGGCTGAACACCTGCTTGTCCATGGGAAGCAGTGAATTAGTTCCTTGTTTTGTTCTGCTTGTGTGTGTGGTTTTTGCTTTCTCTATTAAACTGTCTTTATCTCAACCCTTGAGTTTTCTACCCTATACTCTTCTGATTCTTTCCCTTATCCCACTGGTGGGGGAGAGAGTGAGCGGCTGTATGGGGCTTGGCTGTCAGCTGCGGATAAACCATGACACCAGGTGTAAAATGCATAGTAATATCACTATGTGTAAAATCCATAATAATATCACAGTGTTAATTTAATCTCCTCTGAGGTAAATTAAAGAATAAGCTTGTCTAGTGTGGTAAAATGTAAAAAGTTCTTGTCCATTCCAGGAAAACTATGTAGAGGTAGAGAAAAAAATAAGAAGGAAAACAACATGAGTCAGAAAGAGAGTGAGAGTCAGTGTTACTGACTGAACTGTTCGTCAGCCTGGTAACTTGCTGTAGAAACTGGTGTGTGATGTTTTGGAGTAGAAGAGGAAATGTGCTTATTCTGAGCGCCTGCACAGAAATGCCAGGAAAGATAGCCAGGTTGCTTCTGAGTCAGTGTGCTCCTTTCTTTTGACTATTCTGGTATCAAGTTATGAATCTGAGTTGAAATGAATCCTTCTGGTTAAGTTCCTCTGCTGCAGGATGTAGGAAAACAGTAGAAAATGTACGTGAAGAGTCATGAAACAGGAATGAGGAATTCACTGGTAGAGAATGTGATTCACTTATCAGAAATAACAGTTTGAGAAAACTAGCTTGCCAAGTTGTATATTTGTAGTGGCAGAGTAACTTCATAAGCGTGCTTGATGCAGGGAACAGTAAATACATTAACTTAAGGAATACTGTTTGCATTGTCTACAGACTTTGGTCACATATAGGCAGCATCAGGGGGAAATAGTCTGTAATAGAGGGGAAAAAACATAATAGCCAGATGCTGGAGCAATCTGCTGCTTACCCATTTAACTGGGAAAACACAGTTTTGTCATGATGCCAGGTTGCTTAAGGACCCTGTTTATGGAATCATTTTGCAAATACTGATATGTACTGTGGTGATGCTAGAGCTAGTTGTATGATGGGATTTGGGAGCTTGATGGCATACCATCCACACCTCTAGCTAAAATGCTGTCATGTCCGTGGGTGTGTTTAAATCAAATAAAGATCAGATTTTCAGTCCAGGGGAAATTCCAGCACTTCCTGATTGCAGGCTGGGAAGTGTGCAGATTTATGAAATACAAGTACATACACATTGTATTTCGCCTCACTAAGATGAGGCTTAGTAAAGCAGTTGGAAACAAAACATTGCCCTAACACCTTGCTCCTTGCCTTCAGGAAAGTGCTACGGTGTTGGAGTACTTTAATGCTATTTCTCTGCTGTTGCTTCTCACATGAGAAGCATGCTCTTTTAAGGCTGAACACAAATACTTCAAAACCAAGTATATAAAGCTATCATCGGTTGTTAAATTACTTGTAGTTACAAGTGATCTGCCTTCCCTCAGATTGTTTTATGAACTGTGTGGTTATGCATGTCTTGCTTGCCATTCTCTTCCCTCTCTTGACTTCAGATGACTGTTCGTATTCTCCATACTGTGAAGTATTGCCATTGCCTCACATAAGTTTTTTTCTTTTCCCATAGTTGACAGAGTTCTTGGCCCACCACAAAGTTAGTTAGCCTGCAAGGGGGAGAGGACCAAGAGCGCCATTTGTCCTCTGTAATTTTGAAGATTCCACACACCATAGTATGGACCCTGGCATTTGTATAGGAAGAGACTTGGAACAGGCCACTGCTTCAGTGCTAGTCACAAAATAATTTTAGTGTGCAAGTATAAAAAAATAAAAACTCATTCTTGCTATCTAGTAGATGTGAACTTCAGTTGCTGATGCGGTGGTAGTGGTACGGGTTTTTATATTTTGCATTAAAGATAACCAGTGCCAATCTGGTATATAAAGGAACAAAAAAATGTCCCGCCCCCACTCTCCTCCCACCCTTTTTTTTTTTACCTTCTTGAAAAGCTTTTGAAAGCAACTAACCCATTCTTCCTAGCAGAAAAGGCAGAACAAATGGAATGAATAATCTAACTAGGCATGGACCACATGAAAGTTTCATAAACACAAATGTGAAAAGAGGATATAGAAGCATGGGAACACATAGAGGGTAGAGATGATGAGTTATTGAGGGACTAACTCAGGTCCTTGCTTGCGTACTAGGAAAAAATCAGCCTTTAGATCTAGCCAAAAAATATTTATTTGGCATTTTTTTCCTAGCAGATGGTGTTCCTGGAATTAGCTAATAAAATTGAATGGTTTAAAATTTTGGTCTTTGTAAGCAAATCTTTTTTTAGTTTTTAACGCTTTTGAGGGCAAAAAAGCCCCCTGTCCATGTCTGTTTGTTTTGTGTGTGTTACTCTTAGATTTAGAGCAGCTGCACTCCTCTGTTGTTCTCTTCTTAAATTCCTTCTTTAGAGTTCTTCTCTTCTGGTCAGTACTTAAATATTTATCTCATTGGCATGATCTGTTGCTTACCACTGCTTAACCTTACTTGGAGAAAGCCCATTATCTAGTTTAAACCTGTTGTTTTAAAGCTGTAGAGAGATTATCTTTTCAAGATCCAGCTGTGCACGCTGGTGGCTGTGTAGCTTCCAGCTGTATGTCACTACCATGATTATCAGCTTGTCCCCAGTTCAGCCCATGGAATAATTTGTGAGTATATGCTCCTGAGTATTTCAGGCAGAACTGGCCAAAGAATGGGTTTGTTGAGATGGCTTCTGCTTAAGCAAGTGCAGGTGCTTTTACTTGAAGTGATTTAGGATGAACAAAAGCTATTGGAATATCTACAGATTTTTGACAGGATTATTTGTGGTCTGTTTTCTGCTTTTTTGGATGAAAATACTATCTTGTGACCCCTTGAGATTCTGATATGAATAGAGTCTGGAACAGCATTTGTACTGATGGGAAAGACAGAGAGCTTGGACACAGTGATAAGTTGAGAATTTCTCTGCTAAGATTAGGAGGACAAAAACCATAAACATGACTTACACAGGTGCACCCTCTGCTTATTTAACATAAATAAATTGTTAAGTATATGTTTTGGTTCAGAAAAACTAAATTTTGAAAACAAAATAAAACAAAATCACTACAAAAGACCTTCTGTGTTGCATAAGGAAAAGACTTGTTGTTATTTATATTTACAGTTTGAGTAAACTAAGAATCTGTTTTCTAGGGCATCCAAGATGGATCTCAAGTGTGCTCTTGAAGAATGTTCAATGGCATTGAACTTATTTCTAAACAATAAGTTCTCTGAAGCACTGGAACTACTTCGTCCATGGTGAGATTCTGTTATTTCCTAAAGTTGTTGTAAACAGACAATATCTAGTACCTGAAGATTATTTTAAAGCCTCTGAAGATACTAGTTTTAATTTATGCTCTTTTGTCCAGAAGCATTTCTCCATATTTGGGGGTTTTAAATTTTTGGTCATTAAAACCATCTCAAAAACTGTTGATGAAGCACTGAATTGTTATGTTACAGTTTATCATTCAAGCTCTCTTTCCTCAGGCAGAGGGGAAAAGCTGTGGAGCAAGACCTTATTCAATGCATCTTTGATCAAATGATTTGTACAATGAAACTGCTTTTGACAATGCAGAAAAGCTGGAACAAAACTCCAGAGTACTCTTTTTGTTGTGCTTTATATTATGTTTGGTGTTTATCTTTAAGCTCATCTTTTGATCTTCTAACTCTCCTTGTTCCTGTGTTGCCTTTCCTCCACTGAGAAGAAAAGCATGGCAGTGCAGATGTAGGGAATTAAAGAATATGGAGAGATTCACAGGTGGAACCTGTCTTATGTGACTTTGTGCGGAGGCAGTCTGGGTGGCTGGCCTTTAGGACTGGGATCTAAATCCTATCCACCGTTCTTCTCCTGTGTCTGAAAGGAGTACATAGTATTGAGGAGTGTGTTGGCAAGAGGGATATGTAGCCTCTGTTAATAGACTGGAGTAATATTCTTGCTCTCCAGTTAGGTGCTAGTAAGAATGGATTAGGAGTCGTGTTGGTGCTGTATGAACAAGTTCAAAGACAGCTTTAAATGAAACATCAGAAGGATGACACAGCTATCAAGTGTTTGCTTTTTGTGCTCTGGAGAGCTCAAGTGAGGAAGGCAGTAGGCCAGAGATATTATCTCTTAAAATTAGCTGTAGTTAAAGTCAACCTCATTGGAAGATGGTATTGCTAGGTTATATTTCTCAGGTCTGTTACTTTCCTGCTTAATTGTTCTGTCTTTTCACGAATTAATACAAGTTCCTCTGCATTTAATTTTATATTGCAATGTAAAGTGTTGCTTAAAGGCACAAAATTCATATTTTCCCTAGGTCCAAAGATAGTATGTACCATGCACTTGGATACAGCACTATCTTAGTTATGCAAGCTGCAATGACCTTTGAACAGCAGGATATACAAATGGGAATTTCTACAATGAAGGATGCTTTGCAAACCTGCCAAAGGTAAGCCCAAGCAAGACTAACCATTATGAGATACTAAATCCGATAAGTATTCTTTGGGAAACATCCCAGTCCTCTATATGCTTTTAAAGCAGACTCTTGTCTATAAGATAGTGGTCTAAATTTTAAAGGGGAGTAAGTCACAGTTACTACTGGTGAGGATATTTTTCCACATGATATTGTGGAAACAGCAGACTTGTCCTGTATCTTGTATCTGGGTATTAATAACTACTAAAGGTAGTTAAATGGTTTGTTCACTGTGTAAACCTAAACATAAGTTGACATTACACATTTGAAGTATCTGAGCTATTGATAATTGTGACTTTGTTTTCCAACAGTTTAAAGGCCTATATTTGAATTTTCCCTCTCAGCATGAAAACTGTCTTTTTAAAAAAGTTTTTTCCAAAAGTTGAACCAATAGTCTAATACAATTAAGCTTGTACTAAGGTTTCTTCTGAAAATCAAATAAGTTTTTAAAATTGTTTCCTTTACCTTAAAATTAAAGAGATATTATTCACATCAGAAATTAACTGGGCATTCGGCTCCTGGTCTTTCTTTGAATAGCAAAAAAGCCTTAGAAAATGGGTTGTGAAAGCTAAAGTTTTAACAAATCTCTGACAAAAATAGAAATTATTTCTCTTTACTGGTTCCTCATAATATTGGTTAGGCTATATTTTATCACAATGATCTCCCAAAAAATGACTGCATAATATTAGTTTAGACATTTAACATCATCATCTTAGCCATGGCAAAAAAGAAAACAAATGAGAAACATTATCAGATGCTATCTGAAGAAGAGAAGGGGTCAGTACTTTCTGCATCTTTTTCAGGTTTGCTATCAATTTGCATTTTCATCTGAACGATGCTGTTTAGTGTGTCTGAAGATTAGATGTCCCTCTAGTTTAGACAGCTGCAGTACAGGATTTCATCTCTGCAGGATATAAACTTTAATTCATGAGTACTCTGGCCTAGTCTGTCATAAAACTCATAAAAATGCAAGAGAAAGGCAATTAAACATTCAAAGGACCCTAACTACGTGTACGCTAATTGACTCTTTTCTTATATGCATTATGTTAATGTGTAGTGTCATAATCTTGTTGTCAGGATCCCACAGTTGTCAATGTGAAGAGTAGTGTAAACAAATTATAAGCTAATGCATAGTATTTGTAATCAGTGACTCCCTAACTTAAAGAGTGCATTCATTTTCTGAATGCAGAATTGTTTCTCTAGCTTCTTCATAAAGCCGAGATGTTTGTAATTTTTTTGTCAAAAAAATTTTTGGAATTAAAACATGTACAGTTGAGATCTCTTGGAAGTAAAGTATGTGATTGTTTTGGCATTTTATCTGGCATAAACCACCCTATCATACTGAAGCACTTATGTTGAAAACAGACCTTTCCAGTTTTTCATTCTAATTCTGAGTGCAAGTTCAAGAAACAGAAAAAAGTGATTCATAAACCTTCAAAATCCAGTTCAAGTGACTTGCCCAGCACCAGAGACATCTCTGAGGCTGATGGGTGGCAGTGGGGTTGAAGCTGTCATACATTCAAGTTGGTGAATTGAAGTTGCAAACATGCATTTAATACTGGATAGGCTTTTTAGCCTGGAGGCATACAAGTCTTCAAACTACTGAAAGAATTGAAACAGTTGACAAATGATAATTTTGATAAGAATCTCTGTAAATTTGGGTTGGAAATCATTAGGAATTCCAATAATTAAATTCAGGTTTCTGTTGAAATGTATGGCTTTCCTTTCTTTGCACAACTTATTTAGATTCAGGAAAAGAAACACAGTGGTGGAATCCTTGTCCAATCTTGTTTCTAAACAGACAGTGGATCAGCTGAGTGAAGGTAAGTGGTTAAATAATACAGTTAAAATTAAAAAGTGAAAAAAGCTCAAAACTACCCCTACCAATGTTTACAAATATGCTTAACTCTGTGATTTGACTAATGTCTTACAGTAATAAACATACAAACCATGTATACGATCTCTTTTTTTCTAATTTGAATGCAAAGCTTCAGTGGAGAATTCAGCCTAATTTTTTTTTTGTCTCCATGCATGAATTATGAAAGGAATGCCTTTCACAACACGTTATAGGACTGAAGGGAAATTTCCTTTTTTTGATTTTTAAGACAGCTCCCAAAAATTTAAGAATCATTGATGCGGAGGAGTACATCCTTGTCATTAGTTGCATTGGAATCTGAATATATTAACAAGTTTTGTGCTTGTCTGTTTTGCCTTAAGGTGTTTTGGGAAATGGTATCAGTACATTGTTCATGGCTCTGAAAATGCTGATCTCCTATTTCTGATTCAGGCAGAATCAAGTATGCATTTTTTTCTAACCTGGCACAAGAATCCTCTTTAATACTTGGACACATCAAACTCACCACGTATGCACTGTACATACAGCAGCCTTGTGCATGTGGCTGGTCTTGCAGCATGGGTGCGGAGCAACTCGTGTCATGTGTGTTAAATCAAATGTACTTTAATGCATGAAGACAGAAAGTCTGCCTGGGGCTTTCGGTTTGTTAAGCATGACTTGGTGAAAACCTGTTCATAATGTCTCAGTGGATGTAGGAAAAGCCTGTACCTCTCTGAGAATTACCACTCATCTACAGAAGTTTCTTGTAAGACATGGAAGGAGGGCTGAAAGACTGACTTGCTGTGGGCTGTTAAGCTTAGAAAGAATGAAATGTACAGGAGACCATCTACCAGAATGTCAAGTAGCTTTTGCCATAAACTGAGGTCAGCTCTGACAATGTTTTGTCTGAGAAAAAGTGAAAGAGAAGAATTCTGTTGGGATTTGCGTGTTACAGCTGTTACTCAGCAGTTATCAAAATGGCAACAGCAGAATTTTGCTTTTTTTTCTTTTCCTTGTCTTGGCAGCATTTTGTTTGTTCCATTGACCCCAAGAAGACAATATTGACAATGACTTTGCTGATAGTAAATAACTTTTCTTTCTTATATAGAGGAAATGCATGCTGAAATCTGCTATGCTGAATGCTTATTACAGAAAGCAGCTCTCACCTTTGTACAGGTAAAGTCAATTTTTAATTTTGAGTGACAGTGTAATGGAGAGATATTAGTATTTGTAAAACATCATTCCAACAATAGATGTGATATTTAAAACAAAGTGTTTTGCATGTGAATGTGATTGAAAGTGTGGTAAATCCTGTGCTGCTCAGCAAAATTCTCACTTTGTATGAATAATCAAAGATGATATTCAGATACCAAGGTATCACCCCGAGGTGCATCACTGTGTTGCACAAGGTGGTATGTTTAAATGATTTGCATCCCATTGGACAACTCCCAGCGCCTGTGTATAAGTATGTTCAGGTATGAGGAAGTGTGTTGTTTGAAAGTGTAAGTAATTTTTTACATGAACAGTTAGGATGTTTTCCAACTAACAAAACTTCAGCTGATACACACATGTAATTTCCAATTCAGTCTTGCTCTCTATGCACATGGTGTCAGGAATAATACAGTAATGAATGTTTATAAAATGGGTATGCCTTAGGATTGCTGAGGTAACAATTCAGCTCACAGAAAGATCTGGTATTTTATACTGCGTGGTGCTGTTGATTTAGGTTGTGGTTCAGGGTCTTCATGCTACAGATTTTTCAAATTCAATTTGAAATTTGATTCCTGAAAACAGGAGTAGTTAGTCCTACTTTTTTCATGTATGTGAGCGTTTAACAAGTATTTATTGAATATATTTTAGATAATCTCTTCCAGTATAAATTATGAGAAAGAAGTGAAGCACATAGATTCTAAGGTCAGATTAAGTTCCTTTGGCAAATACTTAAAAACTCCTTGATCCAGTATATGGCTAGAAGTGTCAGGAAATACTATTAATGGAATTTTAGTCTTTCCTAAACTGTCTTGCTCCTTTATTAACCATGTGGAAGCAGTCCTCTTTATTTTTGTTGGGTGAGTGGGGTCCGTTTTAACCATGAAAAGAACTTTGAAACAGTTGTTGAAGGAGGTGAGTTAGACTGTATAAAATACTAAAAGAATCCCTTAGATGTATATTTTTTCTAAAACACCAATCCGCTTTGCTTTTGACTGTAATACCCCACTCTGCTGATGGCTGTGCTGCCCCCTACTTTTAATCCTCGGTTGACCATGATTCATGTTAGGATGGTTATGATAACAAAAATGTAACCACTCAGAAGGAAATAGAATTCTTGCGCTGAAACACGTGCATTTGATTGTCCAGACAAGACAGATGAGGTCTTTTGAAATGGTGATCCTTTTGGTGGAAGCAAGAATTTCCTTTGGTTGATCATTCTGAGGCCTTTTTTTTGGTGCTTTTTCATTTTCCACGTTGTATATACTGCCCCATAGTATTTAAATGTGCATTTCTGAAATGCCAGCACATGCTCCCCTTTTGTATGAATTCTAGGAGGAGAAAAATTCATCCTGTTGAACTGATAATGCCTTGCTTTTCAGGAACTTCGTTTTGATGACAAGTGCATTGTGGCTTTTTTTTGTTTTTTTCTAGACGTTAGTAAGCACATAAATTGAGTAATATATATTGTTACTTTTGATCAGCAATGGAATTTCATCTGTTCAGAGAATTCTTCAGTTTGTCTTTTGCCTGTTACTGTAGGCTCCCTTGTGTATGTCAGAATTGTCATTCCCAAATATTTGAAACAGTTCCTGCAGCACCATCTGGTGGAGAGCTTTCTTGGTTCACATATATACATGGCAAATTCTTCTAAAAGTAACACTTTTTGACTCTTTCTTTCACTTCTTTCTTCAGTTTTAAAATTTGTAACGTACACTAAAGAAATGTTTTCCTGACAACTTAGAGCAAGTCTTAACATCAGTCTTAGAAACAAATCTACTAGGTGAAAAGCATTTTCAGTGCTTCCTATGACATTAACTTATAAATGTAAATGTAGCTAGAAGATTTTTTATGTATGCGTTATGTGTAATATGAATGCACAATATTTTACAGTTAAATCTTTTTCTTCCAGGATGAAAATATGATCAACTTTATCAAAGGTGGCCTCAAAATTAGGACAAGTTACCAAATATACAAGTAAGCTATTAGAAAACACTTGGCTTCAACATTAATATAAGCAGTTGGAGTGGCATTAATGCCCACAAATAGAAAGGAGTGTTTTTGTATCAATCATAGTCATTAATATAATTTCTATGTCACATTTCCCCTTCCCTCCCTCTTTTCTCTGTCACAAGGGAATGTCATCAGGTGCTGCAGATGACTCAAGGGAACAAAAGCAAAAATGAAACGTACTATCAATTTGAAGGAGGAGTAAAACTTGGAATTGGAGCATTCAACTTGGTATGACTTCTTACAAGCCAAGACACTTCTTCTACTACAGAAAGGCCATTGGGATAGTTCTGTAGGACTGTCTTTCTTTTTATACACAGTACTGCAACTGATTTAACATTTAAGTATTTGTAAATAGAGATACAGGCTTCGTAGGTTTTGTGCAGTATGAAATCAGCAGCAACTTCTGTCATGCATCCTTTCTGGGATGTTTCTACTAGTTTATTCTGAATTGTTTAATTCTCTGGGAATAACTAATGTGTGTATTTCTGAAGTGAAAAAGCAGTTGCATCAACTTGTGTGTAGTAGGATTTCTAAAGATGCTTACAGAATACCTGGAGTGACTGTTTAATTCTAACTCTCCCATGTATGCTGTTCTTTTGCTTCAGTAACATATTCTAGATTCACATAGATAATTATAGTTAGAAGATTAAGTAGTAGTTTACTGAGTTTGTGCAAAAGAAAATTGTATTTTCTTTACAATTTGATACCTTTTCACATCTATCATGGCAATCAATGGTGGAAGTTAATTTCTGCCAGTATGATGATTTCTGTGTCATTCTAGATTGGAGATGGCAAATTTTGAGTGTGGTCAGAAGAACTCAGGTCTATCTGCACCAGACTTAAAATTCAAGCAACTGTGTTCATAAGTGCTCTGACCTCTCCTATTCTTCATGGAGACTTCTCAGTAGGAGACTTAACATAAAAAGTGTCTGATGGGCAGAATGTATTAGGGTGAATGGAGCTTTCTAAAAACTGACGTTCAAGTAGACCTACTTCTTAATGCTCATTGAAAAGGTGGTTAGGTAGATGTTTGTACATTTTCTGTTGTTCAGGATGTGGAGGATGCAGTTCCAGAGGGAACAAGAATGCCTATAATAGAGGGCTAAAGGATGATAGCAACAACTAGTATTTTTAAAACCATTATGCTCACTGATCTGCTGATTCAGTGCTCCCACAGGAGGAGCAAGTAGAGCTTCTGTGAGACTCCCAGTAAAATGGAATAATGGTAAAGGAAGATGTCAGTTGTAGGTTGTAAGTAATACTAGAATAGATAAGACTTTAATTCTGAAAGACCCACAATTTTCAAGCAGTTCTGACCAGCTGAAGATAGAACATCTATTTTCATGCTGGATGATCATCAGAATTCTGAGCATGCATGTTTACTTTCAAGTTCTTTTGCATCTTACTTTTTTTACTAATGTATAATAGTATTTAACATAGTAGCTGGTCTTTTTGGTTCATGTTTATATCAATGTAACTTTTTTTTCGAAGTGTACATGTTTTTAATGATCCTTTTATTTTTAACTGTATTTCAGATGCTGTCACTTTTACCAGGAAGGATACTCCGACTTTTAGAATTTATTGGATTTTCTGGCAATAGGGTATTTGATTTGACACTTACTTTTTCAAAATAGTTTTTTCTCAGATAAAAGACTGGATGGATTTAATGTCATATATTCCACACTAGAAGTATAATGTCGATTGTTTACCAGTATTTTAGTGTTGTTAAAAAGATAAATAGGTTAGATGATACAGGCATAAAAGCACATATGGTGATACCCTACTCTTTAACAGCCATGGGAAATTACTAGTTTACTTAAGAGGAGATTTTGCCAGTGCAATTTCCTTTCCTTTTGCTGATCCTTAAGTAGAGGATGTCAGCTTTCTTTTCTAATTGGTGTAGTCAGAAATTGACATTTGTCACCAGTAACTGAAGGAAGAATCACAGTCCTACACTTTTCCACCCAAAATCCCATTTCTTTGGAAAAAAAAATTTCTGAATATCGTGTGTCACCCTGGAATCTAGGTACATCTTTCTGCCATGGGTGAGAAAAATACTTGTATTGTAGCTTGTTTTGTAAGTATTTTACAGCCTTTGAAACTCCTTTTGATGCCCATATGAAATGAAAGAACCCAATCAAAACTAAAGCAAAAAAACCCTAATAAAATAACCCTCATAATTTTACACAACTGAACTCCACGTAATTAATGCTACAGTCAACATATGGTCTTATTGCTGTTAGATTGTCCATAATATGGTTCTCCTGTTGTAAAATTAGACTTCAGTAGAGGCCTATTCATTATGTTTCTTCCTCTGAAAAACCTGGTTCATGCTGAAGCTCTTCCAAAATACACGTTTTTCCCTGACTAAAAATGCAGTAAAGGCTGAAAGAAAAGGAACGATTTTGAAATATCATCACGATTTTTTTGTGCGGTGCTTGAATTTTCCTATAATTTATCAAGTTCCTATGAAATAAAATCTATTCATGTTTGTTTTGAGGCATAATTATGTTTTTGAGAAGTCACTGCTTTTGATCACGGAAGCTCTGAGCTCATCTCAACACCTTCCAGACAGTCCAGCTGTTCTATAATGGGCCTAAACAGGAGCATAAGGGAAGTCTCATGTTTTAAGAGCTGTGTAAGGCTCCATGAATCTGCATATGTCTTTAGACATTGATGTATCTGCAGAGGTAATATTTTGGTCAGAACCTCAAAATAGTGGTTGACTTGATGGAAGAGAATTGAGGATAACCAGGGTTTTCTGTGAAGGAAGACTCACACCAACAAGTAGCACTGGAACAGTTGGGAGAGTTTCCCACTGAACATAGGTAGAAGGATGTTATTCTGAAAGGCTCATAGTCAGAGCATAATGGGTAAGAGTTGTAGACCTGTGTGTCTGCATGGTTCATGTGGTGTTCCCATTTCACCAGAGCACTGAAATGCATGGTTTTGTTAAGAATTAGATTAGTCTTCTCCCTCTGAGTGCTATTAGCTGTGACAGAAACGTTTTGATAGAGGGTTGTGTTGAATTTGAGATAAGTACTGAATTATTAAATACTTAGATCTGAAAGGAGAACTGAACTTTGATTAGCCAGAAAAAAAATAAATAGTAACTCTGTGTACTGATAGTTAATTCTGCATGTGTTTGTGATATTTCTTAGGAGTTGGGCCTCAGCCAACTACGGGAAGGCGCATCTGGCAACAGTTTGAGGGCCATTCTGTGTACTTTCACCCTGTTGGTTTATCATACTTACGTCTCCTTAATCCTTGGTGAGACCCACTGTGTAGCTTTTCAGTCATGCTACACCTTATAGATACTGTGATTTATTTTTATAACTGAATTTCAAAATTGGGGCCAAATAGGAGGTTGCTGTATACTTAATTATGATCTAAAATTAATATCCATGACAAAGCTGTGTCTGCGGAAACAGTGAGGGTAGATAGCATTATACCAACATCTTGCTACATTTGCAGGGTTGTCTCAACAGAAAAATGTTGCAAAACAGTATTAAGTTCAGAAAAGTCATTAGCATAAATTAACATAAGATGTTGTGAAAACTATCTCGAGAAAAAAGCCTATACACCCAGAATTAATTGCTTTTGCCATTTAGAAGTAAAAGTTATAATTAATTCTATATGCTTCTTTGCCATATATTTTCACATTCTTTAATATTTAAATATTTTAGTACTTGTCCCTCTGGCTCATCAGGAAATTAAGGAGAACTTCATTTCTTCCAGTATCACTTGTATTTCATTACTGAGTTCAAAATTAGGAGAAGAGGCACCTGAGCAATGTTTTCCTAACTTGCTAAATCAATTAATGGGATTTAAAAATATGACTAGGATCAATAATGGAACAGTCTAAAAATATTCCTGTAATTCTAGTCTGTTTCTACTTACAGACATTTAGTATTTTTAAAGTACTTAGTATCTTTGGGACAAGAATTTAGTTTTATAGAAACACGGTGTGATGAAATAATTCTGCTTGCACATAAAGCAATCATCCATTGATCTATCAAACATGATTTGTAAACAAAATCCTAGTCTATTAAACTTGGATTTTTTTAAGTGCACTGAGGTGGTTTGTTATGTTTTCTAGGTACAGGGGAAGCCAACATTCAGGAAGCAGACAGTCTCCTCGAACCCTACCTCCAGAAATTTCCAAATGTGCGTATTTTTAATTAATTTTTTAACAGAAATATACTTTCCTAAGCTCAAACTCCTAACTGGTTATTTTTATCATCTCTTTTCAAGGGTTCCATTATTCTGTTTTATGCTGCCAGAATAGATATACTAAAAGGAAATTTTGAAAAGGTAAACCATTTTTTCTTTCTAAGGCTTTTGTTTAGTGTTAAGCCTGAGGGGGAAAAATAATTCATTCATCTGCATATCAGTTGGACTGATCATTATGCTGTTATCCCTGTTCACGTTCACTGTCAATGTTGATTCCAGCCCTCTCTCTAAGTGAAACTGAAAGGGAAGTTTTATCTCATTTTACTTGTCAGTTGTTCTCCGCCTAGGTGCTAGGTAAGAATTTGCTCTGTAATTAGAGATTGCTCTCATATGGAGCTGTAATTGAGCCAGTTTTCATAATTTTTCTTTAACTACTCACAGGCACAATTGAGGTTCCAAGACTGTATAGCAGCCCAGCAAGAGTGGAAACAAATTCATCATCTCTGTTACTGGGAGCTGATGTGGTGCTACACCTTTCAGCAGGACTGGCTTCAAGCATATCGGTATGCAGACCTGCTCAGCAAAGAGAGCAGGTGGTCTAAGGTAAATGGACAGGTGGACATTGTTGTGATATACTAGTGGTCTCTACAGTTAGTTACTTTTCATTTTGCACGACAAGTGTAATGTTTGCCTTCCTGAGGAACTCATAATCAAAGACGCAATGGCACCAAAGTGTTTTAACTGGATGATTAAGGATGAATTTTTATTTCACGTTTTGGAGCAGCATAACCATAAGCAGCCAATGCCTTGGACCCTTCAAAAATGGAGGCACTTACCTGAGCTGGGAGAAAGAAGAAGGATAGGAAAACTGTAAACTTATCTCTCAAGTCAGTTTCTAACACTCACTAGTTAAAACTTGGCTGAAGAAACTGTGTTTGATGTTTATAAACAGACACATACTCACACACAAAATGAGAGAGGCTGCTGGGGACAGGACCTCAAGAAAAGCTGGGCTATCAGATAACCTTTTCCTTGTAAAAAGGTTTTTCAGAGTATGAACCAAGCACAATGTGTCAATAACCTTTTACACGTTTTTATTGTCTCTTCCTCTATAGATTACTGTTTTATTATCATAATGAAAAAGGGTATACACCTAATTCTTGGCAGAAGAGGAAGAGAATAGTATATTCAACATGAGGTGCAAGTGTCTTTAATATAATTATGTTTGGGGCTTTTTCCTGCAAAACCCAGTTATTAAAATTTCCTTGAATCTGTACTCAGATATTTTCTTCTGTTTTTTTCAAGCGTGTATCTACATCTAATAGATCATGTAATAACACTAATAGACTTTAGAACAGTTATCTTAAACTTTCTAATCAAATAAATATAACTAATATAAAATATTAATAAATACATTAAAAATAACATTACAGCATAAACTATGTGACAAAGGGAATACTAAACTTTTATAGTTCTACCTGCTTGAGAATTATGGAAACACTTTGCTGCACCAATTGGGGTGAGAGATTTGATCTTTAATGTATTGCCTAAATACAGAAAATTAGATGTGGTAATCTGTTGCTGTTTCTTTTTGAAATAGGCAATATATGTATTCCAGAAGGCAGCAATTCTTGCTATGCTTCCAGAGGATGATTTGAAGAGTACTGGTGAGGACATAGTGTCTTTATTCAGGTAAATTTTATAAAGCAGCTGAATGTGCACTCTTTCTCCCCCCATGTCTTTGTCTTGTGTGACTTAATTCTTGCTTATAACCATTGTGTCTTTTAATTTTTTCTCTTTGTGTTTAGCATTAGAATTGCTTTTATCAGCAAAGATATATCCTACAGCTCTGGTCTCCCTGGTGTAAAATGATTTTAAGATACTATATTTCAGAGGAAAACAGTAAATCTTTCTAACTGAAATGAGATGAAAAAAACCCCAAACCAATATACAACTTCCATTTTCCTTTCTTGTAGACAAGTGGATGGCCTAAAACAGAGGATTGCAGGAAAATCTATCCCAACTGAGAAATTTGCAGTAAGGAAAGCTCGACGCTATACATGTCCTCAACCAGTGAAGCTGATATTACCTGCCTTGGTATTTGTTCTTGCTTTGTTTTCATTCTTTTCAAAAAGGAAAATAAATCAATTTACTTCATTTTACAGAGAAGGAATAGTATTGTCAGATATTATGTGTCTGTGTTTTAAATTTTTTAAAGAAGTACTGCATTTATGCAATGCGATTTTTGTGAAAAATATTAGGGACTGGATTATACTATCAACTAAGCAGCAGTCTGAAACATACACCAGATTTTTCATGTGAAAAGTTTAGCATACAGAAAACTTCATTCATGTTCTTAGGTTAGCATGTTAGTCCTTGTCTTCTAGACTCATTAGGAAGTTAAAGAGTACTTTGGTACTTTTTGTTTTTCTGATGAAAATGAAGAGTGGTGGTTGATTTTTGTTGTGGTATTTTTTCCTTGTATTGAGTCTGGTCAAAACATGCAGAAGTTGAAGATACTTTATGAAAATTTCCCATATTTTAACATCAAAGTCATTAGTATTGCACAGTCTGTTTGTAGGTGCACAGCAGTGATACTTTCCATACGTGTATGCTAAAATCTTTGTACATGCATAATTTGCCAACAACTATACATGAAAAACCTAATTCGAGGAGGAATTTCTTATGTTAAAGCTCATTGATACAGAAAGAGGAGTCCAAAGAAAATTAATCCATCAGTTCTAAAATTAATTCTATATTAAATTGCGTGTAAAGGACTAAGTAAAATTTGTCTTGGACTTGTACAGCAGAGTGCTTGTAAATTGTGAGTACATATCTTTGGTCTTACTCTCAAATACAATATCTTTTAATTTAGGAATTTTTTCATCATGGATTAGGCATAACCAAATACAGTGTATGGTTTATTTCAGTAGGTGCAAGTTAGACGTGACTGCAGCATTGAAACAAATCTAGCATGATGTAGTTGATGATGTTAATATAACACTGTTTCAGACTTTGATAGACCAAGATTTTTTTCTCTGTCTGAAAACCTTCAGTATTATAATATTAAATTTACAGTACAAATATAAGTGGAAATATTTCACCAAGATATTCTATCAGCTTGCTTCAGAATGACATTAGGCTTCATATTTCAGAAGTGCAATTTCAATTGTGGTAGAATTGATATGAATTGAAATGATACTCTAGTTTGTGATGACTGAGTAAAGGTGTTGGCAAAGCTTCTTGTTGGTTAGCATTAACCCTGGTTCTCCTTAAGTTTTACAATAATGGTAGTACAATAATAATGTATCAACACCAGCTTATTGCTTACTGTTGCACTGAGGCATATGGGAAGATTTGTTTCCAGGATTTGCCTTGGTTTTTTTTCAACAAGATTTTGTAGAAATTATAATAAAATCGTATTTTGGATGTGCCTACTGGAATCACATTTTTATCCAGAAAGTTGTATCTACTTCCAGTTTTACTCTCTCTGTATTTTTATATATATAAAAAAACCACAAGAGTGTGTTTTTGGGTGCATACTTACATAGGTATACTGTGTATACAAGCATGCACTCAAATGCAGACCAAATTTACCTATCATGCTTTAGAAAGAAACTACTTTTAGTTCATCCTGTAGTTCATGCAGCCGAGGCCACAAGTTGAACCTAAAACATCCAATTTTGCTGATGTGTTATGTGGGTGATGGTAAACTGTCCTGATAAAATCGGTTCAGTTTAATTTTTGAAGATCTGTGAAAATGCATGATAGCAGAATCCATTAAAAAGGCGTCAAAACATTCAAAACTTAGAAACCCAGGTTAACTCTGTCAACATACATTCATTGTAATTTTTCCTTTCCTATTCATAATTGTTTTGTACCAAAACAGGCTTTGATAGTATTTTTATGTACTCAAAAATGTTCACAACAGCCTTTTCAGAGGCACTCTTTAGTTAAATATATTTATTACATTAAATATTTTTGCAATTCCTGAGTTCTTATTACCTGTTTGTTTGTTTATTTGTTTGTGTTTTTTATCAGGAAATGATGTATGTCTGGAATGGATTTGCAATTGTGGGCAAAAGAGCAGACCTCACTGAAAACTTACTGGTTACAATTGAAAAAGAAGAAACTGCTCTACAAAATGAAACTAGTAAGTGATCAATTAAGGTGGAATTAATAATCTTGTAAGAAATGCTGACATTTTTATATGCTTCTATCTTCTAATATTCTGCAAAGTGAGCATTGGCTTTGACAATGTGCTCATTAAGTCCAAGTATGGAAATTTTGGAGCCACGTGAAAGTTAGGAGTGGTTCTTCAGTATATTCTTTATGTAGCTCGATTGATGCTGCAGTTGAATACAGAAAACTCAGGGACATGATGTTATTAGTTACAGAACATGACTGGTCTAACTTAGTTTTTCTTGTCTTTGAGAGTGTTCTTGGACCATAATCTGCCAATGTCTTCAATGTCTGAAAAATACTTTTTCTAAACCAGTTTATGTCACACTTTATTACAGAGGACACGTACTGCATAGAATATGACAAAGTATAAAATATATGATGAAGTGCTATGTATGGATGAGTCTGGTTTTTTGTTTTACTTTCTGGTAAAATAAAACATGTTTGCTAGTTGTAAAATGAAACATACTTAATAAATCAAGTTTGACCATGGTTTTACATCTTGGGGTGATGTTTAGAGAATCAGCCCATAACTTATCCCTAAAAGAATTTAAATTCAATTATTGCAGCTGGTTTACTGCACAAGTACTTGATTCTATCGGATTTTTATCAGGGTGATTCTGTCTCCTGTCATGTGAATTTTTTCATGGAATTCTCTTTTTAGTTTTTCTAGAATAAATATTACTGTTTTGCCTGTGCAACTTTTAAAATTATAATTCACTAAAATAATTTCTATTGAACCCAGATTTTAGTCACACTTATGAACAATTTAGCAACTTAGTTTTACCAGTGGTCAAAACAGCAATTCTGAAAGTATCTAAGTATGATTTACAGTATGAATTGAGGCGATGCATAAGAAATTATACCAGGACATAGAAGAAATATATAATATATAATGGTCAAATCTGGATTGTATAATAAACCAAAAGAGAGTAACCTGCATGGCCATGTTTGAATTGGCTTCCTTTATTTTCTGTGTTGCTCTTCCCTTTTCTGCAGAATCAGTAGTGTACCTCTTAAATCTGAAGTGTTTTCCTCTTTTGTTATTGTGATATTAAAACAAAAGTGTAGTATATGCAAGATAGCTGCAAATAAAGTAATTCCCATGAGCTCCACATGAACGGTTCTGGCAGAACCTGTTGGAAATCCAGTGCTGTATTGGGCAGAGGTTTGTACAAGAAGTGCTCATCAGTTTGTAACAATGAAGTAAATTTCCTATCAAAATCCCTAAGTAGAGATGTGCTAGGTACCACAATAAATGCAATGGAAATAAAACCACTGTGTTTTTCTTATGGAAATTCACTTTTTGAAAATAGGATATAATCTGGATGTATATATATTTTCTGTGTCTTTTTTTAGTAATAACTTCAGTCAGATATAATTTTATTCTGGACTTCACATATGTGATCTTGATCTGCTTATAAAGATATGGAATCAGTGAAAAGAAAGGCTCTGATTATTACCAGAGTTACTGTCGAGTCCCTAAAAACTAGAGATTAAGGCTGCTAGCAGAGTGTGACATGGTTACAATATAATTTTAACAGAAAGTTTTTTAGTAGTAGTAATGTCAAAGGATTGCTAAGGTGCTGTGAAAAAAGGGTGTTGATTATACATGAAGGTCAGTTAAGGATTGAGACTTCTTAGAACTGTTTTTGCTTCATTCTTCACATGAATAGGCACAGCATGGAGTCTCTCAAGGACTGAAAGTAATTTTATCTTGTATGGAGCTGAAAATAGAGATGGTAGGAAGAACAAATGAAAGACATTAAAGATGGGTTTGGTTTTTTTTTTTCCCCCACACGATTTCTGGGTCTATATATATGTTATTTTTCCATTTCCAATATATAAAAAGGAATATGTAACTTCAAGAAAAAAAATATTTTTTTGCTCGTTTTTTGTCCTGGTAATGATAATTCCTTTGGTGTAGAAGCATTGCAGCTGCAAAGATGGTTCTCCCACATTTATTGCGAGGTTGTCTGTGTTAAATTGGCCTGTGCATTTGTTGTCATTTAGTGCTAATTTTTTGGCATAATACCTTTTATTCTTTTGGGAAATAAGACTATTATTTGAAGTTGTTAAAAACTGGTGAGCCCTTACTGACATCAGTACATGCCCCCAGTAATTTCAATGAATGGTTCCTTCAGGAGACAGTCACAGAATCTAATACTTTAGGCTAGCAAAACAGGCTAAAGAGAATGCAAAATACTCATGTGCTACACTTCTACTGTCACTAAAAGCACAGTCTGTCAGTTACAATCTATCAAGACTTTCTGTGTTTAAACACAGACAGAAATAAGTCTGAGCATGGTGGCATAGCACTTTGTAGAATCCTAAAATGCCTTAGTCTTGCATGTTTCAGAACTGTTTACGTAGGATTTTTTTGGCAGACTATTAAGAAAAAATTAATGTGACCTTAGAGAGCTGGTAATTAGTTGTAAACAACATGATCTGAGGGGAGAGTGTTTTGCTTCCTGAATTGTTAATATATGTAGTGCCATCTGTCTATCCATATGTGTTTTCTTTCCTTTCTTTTCCTTCCTTGTACCCAACAAATGCTACAAACTAAGGGAACTAAAAAGGATCACACTTGTTAAGTAGATTTTGAATTGATTCAAACACCCTCTTTCATCTGGTATTTTTAGTCCTATTGAACAAAAAACATTATTGAATTTTTCAAATATTATACACTACTACTAAGACTTATCAAGCATTAGAGATGATGCATGGTTTCTTGAATTTGTACTGCAAAATCATTCTTCCGAAGAGTTCTCTAAGAGGCATGGCGTGGTTTTGCAGGTTTTTTTTTTAGGTTGCTAGTACTACTGGAGGTCTGCCAGTGCTCTGTAACGGGGGAAGCTATTAAGATAGTATGATGGTTTCTGTCTCTCTGTAGTTTTAGCTATTGCAAGTAAGAAATCTTTAATTAAGGGCTATTTAAATAATGCAATATATTTAATTAATGACTTTAATCTTCAGTTAATGAAGTTTATGCCTGTTTGTTGGATGTTTCAGTTTCTTCTTATTTCTTCTTTGCCTGTCTTTTAAGAGAAAGATATGGATATCACGGGCACATCTTCTTTAGTAGACAGTATTTTAAATCATGCCTGAAGGTTATGTACATTTTGAGGTATAGAACGTGAGAAATAACATCCCGAGTCTGAATACGTATTCCCTACTGAAAATCTAATTTTCCTGTTCATTATATTTTCAAACTGTTTGACATATCTCACTTTCACTGTTAGATCACAATGAATACTATGTGGATGATGTGTGCATGTTGCAGCTACTGAAAGGCCTCTGCCTGAAACACTTGGGAAGACTCATGCAAGCTGAATTATGTTTCAGTAAAGTAATTCAAAGGTAAAAAATAAAAGAAATAGATTTTTTAGCTTTTGGTGACATTTCCGATACTCCTGTTGCAGCTGTTATGTTAGAATTTTGAATAATTAAACATAATGTTTAATTAAAATACCTCTGAAAGTAATTAGAGAATCAGAAAATTTGGGTTGTATTTTTCTGTAGCAATTTAACACTTACTATTGCTTTATATATGTGGTGTTTGAGGCTAAATAAATCAAACTGCCAGGTAACATACCCAAATACATTTGGAATTGAATTTGCAGAGCTACCTGTAAGTAAGAACAATTAATATAGGTTTCCTGTTTGTTTGTTTTTTTTTAATTCAATGTTTAGTCCTTCAATAGTTAATGCTTCCCTATGCAGATGAAAAGTTGTTGTTGCTTGTTTTAGTTGAAGAATGATTTTTCCTATGTTATGGATTTTCAGGTGTCAGATCCATACCAGCTGTAATAACAGCTTTTGTATATAAAACAAGAGTCAGGTACAGGTTGTAGTTGAAAACTTCTTTAAAGTTTTTAGGTATTTGGGCTGAAGAAACATATTTACATGTACAGTGTTTCTAACAAGTGATTTAGAATAGTGAATAATAGAATTTGTTTTCGAGAATTAAGTGTGTTTTAATTCTCTTGCCGTCTTGTTTTCTCTTACTATTTCTAAGATATCCTGTGAGTTTAGTCAAGCACATTGCAAGTTATAGGGCAGAGGAGTTTGATTGGTTGCAAGCTAAAGGAACACTATTCCTGAAACATCTTTTTCTGAAGACAGTTGGCAATGGGCAGGCTTTTATAGCAGAGATATTTTTAAAAATCTAAAGACAACGGTTCTTCATAAAATATAGGTTTGCATGGATGAGAGGAAAAGTTTTCTGGTGAATTGAGTACCTATATTTAGTTCAGCTTTATTTTCTACATGTTTAGGGCTGCTATAGCCCTTTAAGAATGTTTATCAGTGGGTACAGAATTAACCAGTAAAAATGGCTTCAGAATGTTTTTTCTGTCTGCATGCTGTTACAGGCAGTGATGGCTTTTAAAAGTCAACTGGTCACTTGAGACAGGGTTGTAAGTAACTATTTCTGTATTTTTCTGGTTTTCTAGTGAAAAGCAAATAAAATATGACAGTTACTTGGTGCCATTCACAATGTATGAATTGGGTCTTCTGTACAAACAACAGGATGAGAGAGAAAAAGCAATAAGATACATAGAAACTGCAAAGTAAGTGGATCTTTTTATCACCTTGTACATTATGAATAGGTGTGTATTTGTAGCAATGAAGGCACGTGTATTTTCTTCCTGACTACTTCCTTGCAAAATACAAGTAATTAAAAATCTGTGTTCTTGATTTGCAGAACTTCTCCAGTATAGTTGAATTTTGCAGTTTCATGAAACTTCAGACACAGTGGAGTAGACAGATTCAAATAAGACACAGTATGAAGGGAAAATGTTTCCTTCTTGTATGGCTTCAGAGATGCTGAGGGTCCACTGCATGCATGAGATGAAGCTGGAGAGTCCAGGGAAAGGATATGTATCATTCTGCCCCAGAGGGCAGCTGTGGGAACTAAATCAGCTCCACTAAAGGTGTTCATAAGAGTAGATTAAAAGCCAATACACCAGTCTGGTATGCCCCTTTTTCATTGCCTCTGGTGTCACAGAAGACTAGCTGAGGGTTTAATTTACTGTAGAGCAGCATATTTGCATCGTATGTGGATTGTAGTATGAGATAGAATGTCCCTTTGTGTTTACAGAGAAGTAGCCCAGTCTTGTAATAGTGTCCCCTCATGGGGTTTTGCCTCATGGGGGTGCTGGGATTTACAGAATACAATTTCTGTAAATATGTTTATTACTCTGGCTGAATTGTGTTCTGAGGTGGAACATACATTTTCTACTAACGCTCTTTTCTGTAGTTCTTTGGCTTGTTTTTTCACAGCAAATTTCAGTAATTGGGAGGGCTGTTAAAAGTATCAAGATAAGTGAAGGAGATGCTAAGACATGGGTTTAGTTTATCAGGACATTTAATTTTAGTAATTAAGTCTAAGTCTTTTTTGCACAATTTGTGGATGTAGCTTTAAATGTCTCATGCAATCTCCATTTCCTGTTGAAAGAATAGGGACTGTTAACTTACAAACATACGAAGCAGAAACAATCCAGTCCAAACATATTTTCCTTAAAATAAGTTGTCTGTTTTGCAGAAACAACTACAAGGAATACTCTATGGAGTCCAGGTTGCATTTCAGAATTCATGCAGCACTTGACAGTTTGAAGGTGTCACCTGCTTCAACACCTTGAATGAAGAGGAATGCTTTTCATGCATACAATAAATAGCCTACACAATCTTTTTGCAATCTTTTTTTTAATCATAGAGAAGAACATAATGATTGTTTTCTGTCACTTCTGATTTGATGTATGTCATTCCTTTAGATGTTTTCTGTATAGCGCCTATACTGTATCTACATGCTATTTTAAAGAAGACCTTATATTTTGTTTGATAAAAATAATTTAATATTTTACTTGAATGGGGGATATTTTTAAAAAAAGGTGATGGTGCAATAAAGTTTAATGAAAATATTTTTTTTATATAAGAACAGATGCAGGGGACGCAGTGGAACTGCTGATAATTTCTGCATTTTTTGAAAGTTAGATTTTCTGCAGTACACTTGAGACAAGTTTTCCCTCTGGAACAAAAATGCAACGTCTGCAGATAACCTTACCCACATTTTTTGGCATACCATACTCTGAAATTTGTGTTTCAGAGGAAAGAATTAGCCATCTTTGACTTAATTTCATTTTGGGAACAAAATGAACCTGTCTGAAGTGCAATATTTTTACTCTGTCAGATGAAGCTAAGCAGGGCTTCAGACGAAGGCTGAAGCAGGGCTATAGTTATAATGTCTTTTGTTTCACTCAAAAGAAATGCTTACAGGGGATATTTTTCACTAGAAAAGTAGAGCTACAAAGGACATTATGTTCTTGTTCTAAAGTAGAGTCAGCAGTCTTAAGTTGATCCTGACAGATTTATTTCACCTGTTTAACAAAAATAAAAAAGCACTGAGAACAGTCATTTTGGAACCTACACAGAATGTCTTTCCCAGTGGGAAAAGAGTGGGAAATTTTGCCTGCTGTCTACTTCAAATAATTCTTGGTGCAACTGAAACTGGTTGTTTCCCATCTTCCCTGTCATGGATCTGGAGAAAGGATTGTTCTTTTCCTTTTTGAAGTGATCGTTTAATATTTGTAGACTAGCACCCTAGTTGGTACTCTCTTTTCTTGGATCCCAACCAAAGTAAATAAAAAATTGGTGGATTTATATATTTTCCTAATAATGAGTTATAATTCGTATTAACAGAAGTTGATCTTGCATCAAAAAGTGAATCCACTTTTAAACTTGCAGTTATGAAAATGTGCATATTCTAGTCTAATTTCTACCAAAGATGTGTGTAAAATTGAGCTACTTTTAAGTGAATGCATTTTTCTTTTCATGCTTATATGCAAAAAGCAATATGAAATTGAATTTTACATTTAGTTAGATACACAGATTCAGGCTGCCCTTAAAAATAAAAATATATTTGATTTTTATTTAAATATACATCCAATAACTTTCTTTCACTAGCTATTGCAAAACTTACCATTTCTATATTTTATCCAGTATATTTACTTCTGCACAGTAAATTCATAGTACGTATGCTCATGTATGTGATTCGCTGCCCTTAACTACTACCCATGCAAAATAAGGACAAAAGAAATAGGTGAAAAATGTCCTCAGTGAATGAGTAACTGAAGTTTCTAATTAAACAGTCAATATAATCTAAATGCAATAGCAGTTATTCTCAGGTTACTGAGAACACAGCTTTCTTGTATTACTTATAAATAATGGGGTCATTTAATTGCTTATAATTCTGTAATACAGTGGTATATTTACAGGAGAAGTAAGAGTTTAAAAATATTAGCTAAATAAACATAAAGGGTCTTTCAAAATGGAAACCTGATCCAAAGTCTTTTTTTGTTGGTTTGGATTTGTGCCTATTGTAAATGTGTAACTAAGTTACTGTGTAAAATTATACACATGCAAGTTTGAAGCTTAGATACCTGAGACACTGAATTACTGATAAAATAAGCATGCTTATTTTTAAATATATTCAGTTGACTGTAGCTAAATTTCAAAACAGAGTTTAGCGTATGCTGTCAACTGACTTCTCTAAAGATTTGCCCATTTATATATGTATGAGTGTAAACTGTAGTGAGCATAGACTCATGTATTTTCAGAAAATACTTTCAATGCGTCTGTGGGCATTATGTGTTCAGTTTAGGATTATTTTGGTTAATCTGATTATTGGTTTGGGATCTGCTTCATATTTCTGTGGAAGGTGATGGGAGACAGTAAAACTTCTGTAGTTTTTATTCCAAATAGTACTTCACTATAGAAGAGTTAAAACTGGGACTACAGACTCTCAAGGTGGAGCATGATGTAGTCTCTGATCTCTTGTTTTTGTGGGGAGTGTCTTACAGCTGATATTTTATAGGTGATTTGAGATAGAAATCAAAATCAACAAAAAATGAACAATGAAATTGATTTTTTCAAAGTTTGCTACAAAGCTTCAAGAAGCAGTGTACTTTTTTCCATGGGTGATGTTACTGACTGAAGAGAGTGTAAAAAGAAATATTTTCTTCAGCTTAGCCTTCCAAAGGTGATATTACTGTGTTTCTTTTGGGATCAGCCTTTTTGTGCTCCTGCAGAGAACAGGCTCATCGACACAAATTTGCAATACCCTCTGGAGTGTTTTGATGATCCAATATTAAGAGCTATTTAGCGCTTCTCTCCTTTCTGTGCTGCTGTTCCAAAATTTGCTAGAAAGATTGATTGATCAGGATTCTTAGGTTTAAGCTCTATTCTGAACATCTTTTTCCAAGTTGTTAATGATGGAAATATAAATGTGTGAGAGTGGTTTGTAACCCTTCAGTTAAGGTAGGTCTCCACACAGCTGCAAGAGATATTTAGTTTTCCAAATGCTGCGGAAATGTGCATGTCTCCTTGACACAATGCATCAGTGATGCAGTATTATTTAGGACATGATGTCTGAGTTAAGTGATTTTTATTTAAGAGTTCAAAGTTGTTGGGGCTTTTTTTGTTGTTAGGTTGTTGTTTTTTTTTTTTAAATCTGCTGTATTCTGTACTGGGCCTTAAATACAGCTCTGATGTAGTCTTAACTGCTGTTTCTAATATTCACCGCACATGCTTATCCTCCATGGGAATTTTGAATATTGTGCTGAGAATTAACTAAGCAAAGCTGACCTATGATGCTATAGCCTCTCTTGATAACAGAAGGAATTATAATATATACAAGAGCAAATTTAATTTGTTAGTTTAAGCAAGCAAGTCTAAGCTTACAGTTACATTATGACAAAAGGTCATTTAGTTCTTTCTGATAATAGATGTATTTTTTTTAAGGTAAGCAATAATAGATAAGCCTGGTTATAGGACAAAGTTCTCTTTGATTAAGAATTGCCTATTTAGAAACTATTACAAAAACACTTCTTGTCTGTGCATATCAATCAAATGTTTAATCTGTTGAAAGATCATTGTACTACGGTTTTAAGTCTTTATTCATCAGTTTTTAAAAGAAATTGAAAGCAAGGATCTGTTAAAAGAAAGCTGATGCAACATTGTTATATATCTGTTCTAATACACATGTAGTAGCAGCTGTATGTAGCACTTTATGGCCAGAAAACTGTACAATAATTAGAACTTGTTAGATTTCTATAACACCTTGCAAAGTAATATGTGAAAACAAGTAATTTCTTGTAACAAGAGACTTGGCTGTTATTTTGTTACTAAACTTAATATTTCATGTCTTTTGTTTCTGTATATTCTTAACACTGCCTAGTTCAACAAAGAATGTTTATATTTGCCCTGGTGCTGCAGTCTTTTTGCTTCTAATTACTGAGGTTTGCACATATTCTTGTCTGGTACTTGATGGGTATACAATGCAGGCAGAAAATGAGGAATGAAGTGTATTCTGGTTTAAAGAGCATGTAGAAATGTTCATTGTGATGCACTGGAATGGATTTTCACTTCAGAGGAATAAATCACATATGCTTATGCTACCGAGTGCTGAATTTGGCACTGTATTCTAGTTGTATATCAAGAACCTTCAGCTGAGATTTACCAAAGCATTATAATCGAAAAAAGGCCTGATCTCTAGTTTAAAAATGCTGCCTTAGGCGTAGAGCTCTTATACAGCCTGTCCAGACTGAAAGGCTGTACAAAGCTGTCAAGGTCTATTGAGTGAATAAAGGGTCTTTTGAATGTAGATGGCAAATATAAAATAAACTGCAGGAGTTTTTTGTTTGTTTGGGAGGGTTTTGTTGTGCTGCTGGTGTTTTGGGATTTTTTTTAAATTGAGTTTTGGGTTTTCGTTTGTTTTTTTTTTCTTCCTTAATCTGGTAATAAATGTTATAGGACAGCTTCATAAAGAAAGAGTGTGGCTCTTAACTTTGCAATTGATAGAAGAGTACCTTCTGGAAAAAAAAGTCAAGAGTCCATGGTTAGCGTAACCAATTTAATGCTTAGTGATTGCATTAAATTAAATAAGATTAAATACTTTCCTTTTTGTAGTAGTGTGTGTACTTCCAGTTCATAAAGAAGCACATGTCAGCTAGTAATCCCAGGTAAGAACACCTTCCTAGATTTAGCACTTATCTAAAGAGAGAACTTCTTCAAATACATAAGCAGTCGGAGATGTTTCTGTTCCCTGTTTCGGGTCTTCTGTTCCATGAAAATTACTGTGGGCCAGATTCAATATCTGTGCCACTGAAGTATGGAGAATACTTAGTGTTCATGTCACATGATTGTGGCAAAAGTTAAGGCTTTACTAAAGTCCCACCTGAGAGGTTAATGGGCTTACCTGCTTGAGCATGTAAATGTGGACTTCAAAACTCAATTTTCTTATTGGGAAGTGGATATAAGAGTATAAGGATAATACTTAAATGACATGTTATTTCAGTATTTACAGTCAGGGTGGAGGGATATGTAAAATTAGGTTAATGGTATTTAGCATATGTTAGGCTTAACTTGTTCCAGAGCACTAGGTAATCTTCAGAATTAAACTCGGTTGTAGAAAAGAGGGCAGTATGAATTTAAGTATGATTTTATTTTTGTTACAGTTTTGCTCAAGGTTGTAGGACTTACATCCAGGCAAAATACAATGCCTAAATATACTCGGGTACAGATATAAAACTTTCATTTCTAACACTCAGCCCACGTTGGTTAAATTGTTTCTCTCTCTTTTAAGAGAGGTTCTGCATTACATGCATTGATGAATTTACATAAGCAGTATTCTATGGAGGAACTATTCCCTGTAGTTTAAAATTTCATGTGATGTAGAATATGCATGCTCAAGCTTTACTTGGAAAAGATGCATGGCCTTAATCTCCAAATTCTAGTCATACCAGAAAAGTTGCTTCAAATCCAACTGTATTAGTTTTTACATTAGAGCATTGAAAACTTCATGTTGACAACGAGAGAATGTCAGATGTTCCTTC